AAGCTGAGACTTCATCTCAAGAAAATAGAAAGAAGAGGCAACAGAATAACACCCAGAAACTTTTTTAAAAATTGGTTTCTAAAAATGTAAGTCAACTGTGTTTTTTTTTTTTTTTTAAATTTCACACATGAGTAGAATGCATTTGGATCACACCTACCCATCTCTCCTCCTCCAATTACTCTTTAAGAAAATAGTAACTTTCTTAAAGATAAAAGCTGAGTCTTCTAAAGATTAGTTAGACAGATTTCTCTAGTAAAACCTACCAATGGGAGAGGAGATAATTCAGTCAGTTAAGTGCTTGCCTTATAATCTTGAGGACCTGAGTTGGATCCCCAGAACCCACATAAAAAAATACAGGCATGATGGCATTTTCTTGCAATGGTAGGGCCATGGGAAGTGGAAACAGGCTGATCTCTGGGGCTTGCTGGCCAGCCAGTCTACTTGGAAAGTTTAAAGTTGTGAGAAATCCTGCCTCAAAAACTGATGGATGGAGCTTATGGAACATTACTTGAAGTTGTATTTGGCCTCCACATGCATACCCCAGACTTGTGTAAGTGCAACACACACACACACACACACACACACACATATCAAGGATCTATATATATATATATATATATATATATATATATATATGGAATACTATTATTAAATAGTTAAAACACTAATGGAGGGCTTTGTGAATAACTTGTTTGGGTTTTGTTTTGTTTTATTTGGGGCGGGATTTCTCTGTGTAGTCCTAGCTGTCTTGGAATTTCCTATGCAGACCAGTCTAGCCTGGAACTCACAGAGGTCCTCCTGACTCTGCCTGCCTAGTGCTAGGATTAAAGGAGTATATCACTATACCCAGCTAACTGTGAATAACATTTAATACACAGATATTGATAAGATAAATCATTGCCTACAAAGCCCAAAATTGGCTTGCGAAATAGGAAACTTGAAAAGAATAATAATTGACAAAACTGGAACTCCAAACTTCCAGGCATGATCTCTGACCTTCATTCTTTCCCAGCTTCCCTCATCCTTGGATGGAATTAATGGTGCTGACAACCAAACCCAGGGTTTGGGGCTCAAGGCTCAGGATGGGCATTCACAGTGGTACATCCTTTATCCACAGTCCTCTGAGGGACTGAAAGAAATACAGAGGCAAAATAATGCTCTTTTTTCCTTTGCTGTTAGCCAGTGAGATCCACATAACCTGGGGTTTCAGAAGAGTCCTTCTCTCTGCAGGAACTGAACAGAAGTGGAAGTACCACAGAAGGAGACAAGAACAACAAGAAAGATCTAGTGACTGACTGAAGAGCCTGAAGCCCTCTCCACTCTTTGGAAGTCCCTTTCACGAAGAAAAGCAAAACAAAAGCCTGATGTTCCCTTTTGCTTTATGATACTTCGATGTGTGCCTCCTGCAACCATCTGGGGGATAAACTTTAACATGGGAGAAGGGCACTTGACATGGGGATGGAAACGGTCTCAGGGCAGCTCACTTCATCTCCAGCACCTCTCAGTTTCCTTGTGCAAAGAAGAGATGCCTATGAGGATGCAGCCCAGGGGTGAAACCCTTGACCAGCCTGCATAAGGCCTCAGGTTCAATCTCTGGGAGCTACAGAAAAATCAAATTAAAAGAAAAAGGTCAACTCAGCCTCATAAAGATGGTAGCAGTCTGTTCTACAAACCATTGGAAGGCTTGCAAGAACCCACAGAATGAGTCACATGTTCATTTATGCATGTTTGTCTCCATGCCACGGTGCTTATTAATGACACCAGAGAGTCCCCCGCCAGCTGGCACGGGGCAACCACAAACAATGATGCAACTCCAGCCACATTTTGATATTAAAAGTAAAACCTCAGATGCAGTGGAAAGTTAATCTGCAGCATTGCTGTGTTTACCCTCACTACCTATAAAGCCTCCCATTGGCTGGTGTTTGGGGGGTGGGGACCACCAAATGGAGAAGGCCACTGTCCCCCTCTAACCATTAACTAGCAGAGACACTGGCAAACAAGATTTAATGGACAGTCTCCTCGAAGCCTCACTGTACATGTGCTAGGATCCCAGACAGCAGAGCCAGCAGGAACAGCACGAGCACACTGCCGACGTAAGTTACCCCTGAGAGCACTCCATGTCTCCCGCCCTTGCCAGGGTCACCACCTCTGCATCTGCTGCACTCCAGAACACAGCCACACATGTAGCTTTGCCTGTTCGAGATTTTTAGTAGACAAACACGAGGGCAGCCAACTGTGGCATGAGGCAAACACCTGGAGGACTTCCAAGAACCTAGAGTCTGGGGGTTAGCACTGGGGTTTGATATCCTATGGGTGCCTTCCTTACAGGAGGCTGTCACTGAGAGCTGTGGCTGTGTTTTATTGTCACCAGTTGGCCTGGTGGAGCAGCATTAGCAGCCAGGAATGGGAGGGAATCTCGGAGCAGAGATGGATAAGTGCCAGGCTGCAACATGGGGTGGGTGTGCACAGCTGGCTCTCGCAGGGGGACTCTAAAGAGTGTTCACACACCTCTCTTCCATAGCTCCTCACTTGGTAACCTGGGGTGGAGACGATGCCAATAAAAGAAAGACCTGAGTTAACTATCTGCATCATACCACAAGCTATGATGCCTACCTAAGTTCCCACCTGATCCAAGTCACTTCAGAGAGGAGTGGCAAGGACATTACTAGGAAGAAACACATGACCCTCAGCCTTTTTGTAGGCTGGTCTTCAGGAGCCACCTTGCTGGCCATGTGGTTTTCAGTAGTGACAGGCAGGGCAGCTCTGGAGAGGCATGCCCTGTCCCTTTATGGATGCCCTGTCCAGCTCAGTTTCCCCATCTCTACAGTGAGTTTCAGGGTGACTCATGAAGTGAGTTTGTGTAAGTCATGCATTGATGACAGCCACAGCAGGCATTCACAACGGTCTCATGAGGCAGGGGGCATTTTCATCTCCCTCATGCAGGTTTGACACAGGAAGAGTGAGGCGCACAGCCTCTCCCCTCAAACAGCAGGAAGAGGAAGGAGGCCCAGCCTGATGTTGACTGGGGTCTTTTCCCCAAATGGGATCATAGAAAGGTAATAGCCCAGTGCAGAAACCAAGTTGTCCCTGTGTAGAAAACAAGGACAGGGGCAGAGAAGAGGGAAGAAGAATAGCTTTTTAGAGGCAGTGACCAGGCACCTAAGTTTCAAAAAGGCCAAAGGGGAATGAGCCAGGCCAGGGAATCAAAGGAATGGGCCCACAGAGTGGAGCCACATGGACAGGGGCAGGGTAGAGCCATCTTTGTCTCCGGGTCTCAGGCCAGGGAGGAGCTCAGCAAACACTGGGGGACTTTAGTGACCTGCTCTCCTCCTGTGCCCTGCCCAGTCCTGCCCTAACCTCTGACCTGGCCTGTAGCAGGGTAACAATTCAGTGTATGCCCAGATGAAACCTGTGACACCCAGCAGTGCTGCAAACAGACAGACAGCACTCCAATTTAAGACTGAAGGACTGGGTCACGAGGGCCCAGTAGGTTGGGCCTCCTTCCTGCTGTTTCTGGGGGCAACTGTGTGCCTCACTCACCTGAGTGAGGGTGAGCCTCATGTGGACAATGGAGGGGGGGCTCTGAAAACTCAGCTTCTGTAGCTGTGTCCTACCCCCCCTTCAGTCACAGATGTCATCTCTCTGGATTGGGTAGCCCCCAAGATACCGATGTATAATTTTGTGTTGTTTAAGAATTCGAGGGTTTTACGCATGAATATGTGCTCTGATGGAATCCACCCCCCTGTTCCTCCCCTTCAGTCCTCCCTCTCCCTACTACAGCCTCCCCAATATCATTTTTGTTTGTTTGTTTGGGTTTTTTGTTATTACTTTGCTTGTTTTTGTTTTGAGCCACGTTTTTCTCTGTGTAACATTCCTGACTCTACTGGAACTCACTGTGTAGACCAGGCTGACCTAGAACTCAAAGATCTGCCTGCCTCTGCCTTCCAAGTGCTGGGATTAAAGGTGTGCACCACCACTGCCTGGCCTCTGTTTTTGTTTTAATACTGAGTTCATTTCGTGTGACTAGTATGTGCATGATGTATAGCCATCTACAGAAGCATGGCTAGTCTCTCAAGAGTGGCATTCTTGCACGGCTTCTCTCTCTTCCAGAAACCACCAATGGAAAACCTACTGCTGTTACTCTGCTGAAGAAACACAGTAAATTTTACCCAGGGATTAGTGAGACTCTCAACCCTACCTCACCAGAGAGTCTTCTTTTTTGCAGTGGAGGGTGATTCCCACAGAGACCCTCAACAAGATTGAGGCTTTTAAAAATCACATAGAATATAAAAAGGTGAATTTGCAAAGTGGAATTCCAATGGCACCTAGCCTGACAATTGTCTGCAGGCTGCTCTTTAGCTGTCATCTCTCTCTCTCTCTCTCTCTCTCCCTCTCTCTCTCTCTCTCTCTCTCTCTCTCTCTCTCTGTCTCTCTCCATCTACTTCTAACTGATGTCCAGGGCCTTTTCATTCTGATCTGCGATCAAACCAAAACCCATTTAGCAGGGTTTCCTACGGTGCAAACTGAGCAAGCTTTAGCAAGCTGTCAGTTTTGAAGGAGAGCTTGGCCACATTTTGTTTGGTTTTTCTTGCATATTAAATATATGAGTTGCATGGGAACTTAACCTGAGTTTCTGGCTGCCTGCAATAGAGTGAAGAAAGCCTACTTTGAGATTTTTTGTTGTTGTTGTTGTTTATGAAACTTACACGAGATTATAGGCAAAAATGCTTGAGGAAGTGTTAGGCACTTAGCAACTGCACTATATTCAAAAGCACTCTATTTGTACTATATAGCAAAAGCACATATTCAAATGAGGACCTTGAAGCCCAGGGCTCTGTGTGACTGCCTGGGTCAGTTTCTTTCACAGACAAATTGAAGGGGGAAATGGGTGGCAAAGTGTGGTCTTGGCCTGCCCCCCGCCACAGCACTCTATGCCCCCCGACTCTGGGACTGCCCTATTGTCTAACAAGCACTCTCGATTTGGCAGGGCCTGATCAACCAGAACGATGCCACTTGCTCTGTATGCCTGTCTCCTCTGGCTCTCCGCCAGTGGCCTCGTTTCCACACAAAACAGCATGGACAGGAGTGCAATGAGCTCTCACCGAGGCCTAGCTCCCACCAATGTTGACTTTGCCTTCAATCTGTATCGTCACCTATCAGCCTCGGATCCTCACAAGAATATCATAATCTCCCCCGTGAGCATCTCCATGGCCTTGGCCATGATGTCCCTTGTCGCTGTAGACTCCAAAAAGACCCAGTTTTTCCAGGACATGGGTTTCAACACCACAAAGATCAGTGAAGAAGAGATCTATCAGGGCTTCAAGAACCTCAGTCAACTTCTCAGCCACACAGACAGCAGCTTGAAGATGAACATGGGCAACACCGTGTTCCTTGACCAGAGCCTGAATATGAGGGACTCATTCTTAGCAGACATCAAACACTATCATGAGTCAGAGGTCTTGACCACCAATTTCAAGGGCTGGGCTGAAGCCCGTGAGCATATCAACAGTCATGTGGCGAATAAGACACAGGGGAAAATTACACATGTGTTCTCCGACCAGGATAGTCCAGCTGCCCTCATCCTGGTCAACTACAACCTCGTCAAAGGTACTTCTCCCCCCTCTTTCCCACTCTAATGAGGTCCTACTCCACCTCAGATCTCCCTGGTGCCCACCAAGTCATCACACACAAAATGGCCTGGAGTTCACAGCCGGTTCTGACCATATCCTGTCCCTAACAAATGTCAGTGTCTACCAGGTTGGAGCTAGAATAGCCACAGTGCTGTTCTTGAACACTTCCTGAAAGATTTGTTAAAATTATAGATGCCCGAACTCATGACAGACCCCTGAAACAAGGCCTCTGCAGGAAAGCCAAGAATGTGCCATGTGTGCCCCTCCACCAACCTAATGCCACTTTGGTTTGGAGACATCTCACCCTTGAGAATCAAATCTGAACTTCTGCTGTAACACTGATTCTCAGCTGAAGGTAATGTCCCCACCTTCCCAGGGACATTAGGCAACCTTGGGGGACATTTTTTTAATGTCACAACAAGGGGTGAGATAAGATAAGCTATTGGCATCCAGTAAGTAGAGGCCAGGAAGGCTGGGAAACATGCTCCTCACAATGTACATACATACATACATACATACATACATACATACATACATACACATGCATACATACACACATATACACACACACACATACACATACACACATACATACATACATACCATACATACATGCATACACACACACATACACACACACACACACACACACATACACACACACACACACATACACATACACACATACATACATACATACACACACACATATACACACACATACATACACACACACACATACATACATACACACACATACATACATACACACACACATACAGAAAAACATAGACAGAGAACACATACAAATACACAAACATATAGACAAACACACCCACCCCCATGGTGGCATAGTCCCTAAATATCCACAGGGTCAAGAGTGAAACCTTGATTAAGAATCCTCTACTTTTTCTGTCTTCTTTAGCCTCGTGTCTCACACTTTCCTTTGACTAACATCTTAACATACAATGTGAGTACACACAAGCACATACACAATACACACACAAACACACACATAGCACATACATACACAACATATACACACACAAACATACGCAACACACACCCAGCACACATACACACAGAGCACACACACCACACATACACAGAGCACACATACACACACACCACACACACACACACCACAAAGCACACACAGACACAGACACAGACACACACACACACACACACATACACACACACACACACATACACACACACACACACATACACACACACACACACATACACACACACACACACATACACACACACACACACATACGCATACACACATACATACATACCTACCACACATACATACATACGAGCACACATACACACACACCACACACACACACCACACACACACACACCACACAGCACACACAGACACAGACACAGACACAGACACAGACACAGACACACACACACACACACACACACACACACACACACACACACGGTCTGACTATACCGAATTTCTTCCCTGTCCTTGAGCATGCTTGCTTCCACAGAAGCTGGTGTGAGCCTCTTGATAGTACTGTAACAAGTTACTGTGGACAGACAGACAGTGGCTGTATGCATTTGTTACCTGATCACTGTTGAAGTCAGGGGAATAGCATGGGACACACTGCTTGGGACTGGCTCCTGAAGGGCAGAAGAGGCCCGGGGGGGGGGGGGGGGGGGACTGCAAGCAGACAAGCTTTGACTCAGTCTAAGGAGCAACATTTTTCCTGTCTGAACTGACAGCAAGCAAACAGCCTGGATGGTGACCCCACCAGCCAAGGATGAGGGGGAACTGTTAGCCGAAAGTCATCCTGTATCCTTACTCTATACACAGGAAGCACCGGAGTCTGAAATGCCCTCCTTTCAATTGGCAGAGGTCTGAGCCTCTTCCAGGAACTGGCCAGACTTTCGAAATAGTTCATTTCCCCAAAGCTAGCTCCTCCCTCTGCCCACCAGAGACCCTGAGTTCAAGGTTTGAGTTCTAGGACCACTGTAACTCTCAGCATTGAGCCCTCAGTCTAGCTCAAGTGGGGCCTAGCCTAAATCCAAGATCCATGCCCTTTTTCTCTTCCCTTGCCTGTGTTAGAAAGCCAATCTCAAGCAGAGCTAATCTGTAACCACCAGAGGCAGGGGACAGGATAGGCCCTCCTAACCCAGCACGCTGCTGCTGCATCACACTGCTGCATGCAGAACTGGCTGCAGGCCCCTAGGGATTATCATATCCTTCTGAAATCAGGCAGCTCGAGCTGGAGTATTCCTGGCATGCTGCTGGCAGCTAGCTACCTAGCTTATTTCTACAAGAACAGTGGATGTTCTGCTGCTTCAGAAGAGGGTGTTCAAGCTTTATTTTAATTCCTAGTCTGCTAACCTAATGATTGATAGTGGACCCCCCTCTCTTCCCTCCCTCATATCTTTCCAGGCATGTGGGATCTTCCCATAAGCCCAGAAAATACCAGGGATGAGGACTTCCACGTGAGCGCGACTAGCACCGTAAGGGTGCCCATGATGTTTCAGTCAGGTGTCGTCGGTTATCTTCATGACCCAGAGATCCCCTGCCAGCTGGTACAGATGAAGTATTTGAAAAATGGAACTACCTTCCTCATCCTTCCAGACAAGGGCCAGATGGACAATGTCATCGCTGCACTTAATAGGGACACAATTGAGAGGTGGGACAACCTTCTGACCAACAGGTAAGCCCTCCAGGCACCATGTAGGTTTTTGGTTGGGTGTATGTTTCTGGAAAATGAAGTGCAGAGACTTCTTTCTTTCCAAGATAGACCCCCACAAGGTCTCACTGCTCCCCAGAGGCTGCGAGGTTCTGTAACTGGAAGGTATACTTATATATCCACCTATCACAGAGGTCATTTGGGGCATAGCCCAAGTCCAATCCTCACTTCTTGAGAATGTCATAAGCATAGTCGTCTTATACATTATATTTTTATATCGGTTCCTTAAACGGAGCTCACCAAACACCAAGCTCTGAAGGCAAGGATGTAAGTGCATCACTAAACCCAAGACAAATGGTAAATGGGTGTTTATTGGGGAACAATTACACAGAAAAATACAAAGAACCATTGAAGCGTTTCCCTGCTCTTTCTACGGGATCCGCTGACCCACCAGAAAGAGTGTCCAAAGGAAAGCCACGCCTCAAGCTCCTCTCTTTGCTCTGCTTTGGTCCACCTGAAACCACACCCAAAGGGGTGTGGTCACCATTTCAGGTCCACAGACCAGACACCTACAAAGCTCCCCACTTTTCTCTGTTCTTAGCTGACTCACTATAAAGCAAGTCTGTAGCTCTTTGGGGCCTCTGCCAAGTGCAGTGCAAATGGCCTTTGCATCCTGGGCAACTGACTGTAGTAAAAAAGAATCATGGAGAAACAACAGTCCAGTGCCCTGTGTGAGCATGGTGCTCTGGCTGCATTATTTTCTTAAGCAAATGTCTATTCAGTGAGCTTCTGCTTTTCTATATTGAGCGGTGTGTGCGATCTCACCTCAAGACTGGGCTCCTATTGCTGCAATTTAAATATTTCATTTTAAAAAAAATCAGTACTAGGAATTAAACCGAGGGTCTCTGCATGCTAGACTTACCCCTAAGCTGTATTCTCAGTACCTCCCTTTTAAGACAGGGTTTACTCAGGCTGGCCTTAAATTCATTGTATATGTTAAGCAGGCTTTGGCGCTTCAACCTCCTTCACTGGGGTCTGCAGTAGCTAAGATTACAGATCACCACAAGACCCAGGTTGATTTCTTTGTAATCATACAAATGTCTTTAGCAACCATTCCCTACCCTCCTTGTTCACAGCTTTTAACACATTCTTTTAATGACCAGATTGTATTTTTTTTCAGGTCTTTCCACTCTGCTTGTTTTTTGTTCTCAATTCTCACTGTAAATCTGGTCAAAAGCAGCCAGCAGAACCCATGTCACGACTACTGGGCTGCCTTGAAATCATCTATGCTTTGTGAATTTATTCATCACATTTAAATCCAGGCTCTGTGCAAGTCTCAAGGCACGGGCAAAGTGCAGATAACCTGGTTGTCAGAGTATAGCATGAACTTCCTCACCCGGTTCTTCTCCCCCTTACGAGCAGTCCTTACTAGCTACATAGGACGATCAGCACTGTGATCTCCTGAACTCCCTCTCTAATCACATGTTAGGCTCCTTCTTACAGAATGCTAGGGCTAGCTATACCTCCAAGCATTTCCGAATTCCACAGCCGGCTCTCAAGAGTTCTGAACCACATTGTCAGGTGTTCACAGAAAACGACCCCACTCCTGACATCAGCAATGGGATACCTTAGTTTTCGTTTGTGTTAATTCATTCTTCATTGCCGTCATGAGGACCTGAGAGAAACATTTAAAGAGACGGAAAGGTGTATTTTTGTCCACAGTTTCCGAGGCTTCAGTCCACTGTAATGTGGCTCTGTTTCGTCTGGGCCCATCTGTGATGAAGCAGAACACTGGCTTCCTTTTGTCCCTTTTGTGCAGTCAGGACACCCAACCCACATTTAGGATGATGGCTCCTCCCTCTACTACTAAAGGTCTCTAGAAACACCCTCACAGTTACACCCAAAAGTGTGTCTCCTAGGTGATTCTAAAATCCAATCAACAGTGAATCGTTACAAGATTAAGCATCACAAGTCCACACCCTGACAACTTGATGCTTAAAAATATCATCTTTCAACCATTACGTCTCACTCTTATCCCTCAGAGATGCATGGTCATCTCATAGTGCAAAATAAATTGACTTCTTTAAAAATTAAATCGGCTTAACAATATTGACACTGTTAAAAAGTCAAGTTTCTTCTGAGACTCAAGGCCATATCTTGACTGTAAGTCCCTGTAAAACAAGAACCAGTTTACACACTTCCAATATACAATGTCACAGAATAAAATTTCCAGTTATAAAAGGGTGGATTGGGAGAAGGGAGACAGACCAAAGCAAGACTGAAATCCTAAAGGACAAAAGCAGTATCCTACAGTTTCCTGTCTGACATCTGGGCTTCTTGATTGTCTCACCCAGGCTCCAACAGCTCTGGGTAGCCACATTTCTCTACTTTTGTTGCCTGTAGACCATGTAGTCTCTCTCCTGGGCTGACTCTACAGTCCATGCCTGCAATTTTCCTTGACAGTCATCTGGAGGTCTTGTCATATCCAACATCCTAGGGTTTGCACTACAACTTAGGCTTCACTTTCACGTCGCCTGCTTAGGAACTCTGCATATGAAACCTACACTACACATTGTTGGACATCAGAGACTTCCTGGTAACTTGGTGCCAGCTTCTACGATTCCTCTCTTTCGCATCTTTTATGCCTACCAAAATGTCCAATGTGGACGATGCCAAGTTCTTCTGCCAGCTTGAAAACTGTCATCCCTTGGATCACAAATGCAGTGGCCTCTGTGTGCCTTTGTGTTTGACATTCTGAAGATACTTTCCTAGACAGCAATTTCCTACCAGGTACCTTGAAGGCTCTATTATTTCAGGTGCTATCCTTTAAAATGAGTCTTTGGAGCTCTTGATGTGTAAGTGAGGACTTGCAATCAAGGCTCTCTTTTTATTGTCCCAGTGCAAAGACCCTGGTTTTTCACTACAATGTTAATCTCTTTATCTGAGCCCATCCTATCTATAAATTCAACCAGGATAAGGTTCATTTCCTCGCCAAACTACACATTTTCCACACCATTCTGCTCTAATTTTCTGATGTCTCTTCCTGTAAATTTAGTAAGTAATAACAGTACCACAACTTGGATGATTTTTTTTTTGAAATTTCCCCTGCAACTTCTGAGTTCATCTTCATTCAAGCTTTTAGGAGATGGCCAGAACACAGCCATGCTTTCTACATAATGTAAAGTGGATGGCCTAAATTCTGATTCCCAGTAGAGTCTTCCTTTCAAGATGAAACCTTGTGATCCAGGACTCCACTGCCTGCATTTCTATTAGCAATCCGGCTTGTGCTCATAGGGTTTTCTGCTCCTTTTCCCCCTCTATTTTCATGTGAACTTGCTCTTGCTCAGTTCCTCACTGAGCTCTTGTTTCCACTTGAAACTTCATGAGAAGTCTTTGCTATCTATATACCCTTCCTAATTATATGTTAGGTTCCTTTTCACAGAACTCTAGGGCTTCTCTAGCCATACCTCCAAACATTTCCAAATTCCTCAAGAGAGTTCTCAAGGCTTGTCAGGTAGTCACAGAAAATGATTCATTATTTATAAAATTTATTTATTATTTGTTTATAAAAAGAAGACTTAGTAGATTGGCTTATACACCACGATAGTCTAGATAGCCCAACAATGGAAGTCTTTGGCTTATATACCACTCTAGTCTAGATAGTCCAACAATGGAAGTCTTGCCCTGGCTGAGAAAAAAAAAACAAACAAACAGGAGCTCCCCAATCCATGAGGCTGGATGGCTCAGTAGTCCAAATCTGATGCCAAAGATCTAGAAGATTCCTGGAGAGTAGATGATCTTCTTTCCATGGTAGAAGTCTGAAAAGATGGATTCTGATGGCAGCAAAAGATGGCAGAAGCAGCTGGTAGTGGCAGCAATGGAGTAGGTGAAAGGTCAGATGAACTTGCCAGCAAGACATGAAAACAGCAGCAGCCTCTTCCTTTAACATCCGTTTTCCTGGTCTCATAGTATCAGAACTGAGGCCATTTAGGATGGGTCCTCCATCCCTTGTTAAGCCTCTCTGAAAATGCTTTCATAGTTATGTCTGCAAGTGTGTCTCCTAGGTGATTCTAAACTCCTGTCATTTGAAAATGAAGACCAACCATCAGAGGGGCCTTAACAGTACATAGGCTGACCCAGCTGAGATAAGGATATTAGCAGAGGGGACAGGACTTGACAGTTGAGACATAGAATCATCTGTATAGCTTGACCAGGACTACTGCTCCTGGTCAGTTCTCTCCACTACTTTTCTCCTACCTTCTTCTAAGACTATAAGGACTGATCAGTAGTCCATCTATATCACAGATATGATAGTATCAAAGGAGTCACCCAGAGAAAAAAATGACTTTAGGTAATTCACAGACCCAGAGATGCCTTACATATGAGGAAGAGATAGTTCCTGCCCTTCATCCCTAGTGAGTGAGTTAGCCTGGTGCTACAAGGGTTGAAGAGCTCACACCAAGAATCGGCCATCTGTATGGGAAAGGATGTGCTGCTTTCTACCACCAGGTCTAGCCTTGCACCCTCTAACTTCTTTGACTTCAACCTGAACAGGCAGGTGAACCTGTATATCCCCAGAGTCTCCATGTCTGCTACCTACAACCTTGAAGATGTGCTGGCGGACATGGGCTTCACAGGCTTATTCACCCAACAACCAGATTTCTCAGGCGCCACCCAGGATTCTCCACAGAAGGCATCAAAGGTGAGTAAGCATCTTGGGAGCTTTTCTTCCAAAATTTACACCAAAAAAATCTTAAGAGTAAGCAACTCAGCCCATTTGTGAATGATCAGATGCCTAGCCAAAACCCCCAGGTCCAAGCCCTTCAACCACAGTTCAGTAAACAGAAGCTCAGCAAGAAAACAAGCACACAGAAAGCTCATGACAAGGGAGAGTCACAACCCAGGCAGCTAGCCATCTCCCTAAGCCTCACAGAGAGGGGATACTGGAAAACAAAGTTGTCAAGGCGAAAATGAAAGCAGCCCTGGCAGAAAGAAAGAGAGGACATAGTAAAGGTCCCATTAACAACACTCTGAGCCTTCCATTCAGTTTCAGGCTTGGCCTTCTGCTTGATGCTCTCAATTCATAAATTCATTCAGAACATTTTGATTGAACACCTACTATGTGCCCAAGCCTGTGCTGGGATCTGGATATGTTTCCATTTCTCAGATGTGAACACTGTCCTCAAAACACAAGGGCTTTGAGTGCATGGAAGCCTTACTTAGTGAGATGTGAGTTCAGCAAATGTGCCTTGTGGATGAGTAAACTCACCACAGGGAAGGAAGCTAGGCCACACAGAAGCCTCCCTTTATCTGTTTTTGTTTTTTGTTTTTTGTTTAACAAGAAAGGAACTCTTTCCACTATGGCTGTACTAGAACTACTGAAGGATTGAATGTTCTAAGGTCACAAAGCATACTGACAACTGCACTGACTGGAGCTTTGGGCTTATATAGCAGAGGTAGACATTATCCCAACTGCTCAGGGGTACCCTTACACCCGGGAAGGGCAAAGAGCTTGATGCAGTCACGGAGCTAGCAAAATCTAATAGCAGCAGCAGCAGCAGCAGCAGCAGCAGCAGCAGCAGCAAAATCAGTTGAATGTTTGACCTTAAGTCTGTCTATACAAGGTCTCAAACCCTCAAGCCCCACTGCAGAGGTCCGGGTCACAGTTCAGCCTCTGCCTGGCTGCAGGAAGCTATCACAGGGACACTGGAAGACCTACAGACTTGCTGAGACGCAGAGCTGATGAGCACCCCCCCCCCACACACACACCACTACCACCAAGGGGCGCTGGGAATACACTGACTGTCACCTATTGTTTCGTGCCGGGGGTAGGAGCTGTCAACCAGTTAGTTGTATTCACAACACAGCCTAATTTTCATCATTTAAAGGAACACACCAACAGCCAAGGATTTGCATTTGTGCTTCAGTCTGGGCTTTCCGAGGCAAAGTAGGCACAAGCACTTTATAGAGGTTCAACTCTGCTGTTTCCATAGCAGAGTGGACAACGTGAGGTGTCTTGAAACCTGGGATCAGGTAAGTAGAATCCGAGATGGACCATGAGACCCAGTTCCTCTAACTTCTTTGTGGTGTGCACATCCTGCTTTTCCAACAGGGAGGAAGCTAGGTGCAGTATAGGGTCTGGAGCTGCTGCTTAGACATGGAGTAAACAGCTGATGCTTTGGGAATCTTGGCTGCTTCACCTTCTGTGGAACAGAGGTTGTGATGTCCGCGTGATGAGATGTGGACAGTTCCTGCCTCACGACAGGCTCATTTCCTGCCTCTGGCGTGTTTCTCATAGATAGTTCACAAGGCCGTGCTGCAACTGGATGAGACGGATGAACTGCCTGTTGCCATCACAAAGGCTCCCCAACAGCAGACATCTGACCCACTCACCCTCACCTTCAACGAGCCCTTCATCATCATGATGTTTGACAGCTTCACGTGGAGCAACCTGTTGTTGGGCAAAATCATGAATCCAGCTTAGAGCATGCCGGAGAAGCTATGGTACCACCTGACTTTGGGGTTAGAAGCCTTTCCCCAGTCTCCTCCAGGTCCTCCCCAACCCAGCCATGTATCCCTACTTTTAGATATCCTGTAATGTATAACCATTGTTGCTACTCCCAAAACAGGTCAATTGAGAAGGTAACGCTGAGATAACGGGAACAGTTATTAAAGGGTGTTTTTGCAAACTCTGGGCTTCGTTCTTGATTTACACCTAGGTGGTGCCTTCTAATTGTCCTCACATGGAGGGAAGAGCAGAGTGGAGAGGACTCTCTAGGGCTTTTCAGAAGGGCGCTAACCCTGTTCATAAGGACTCCACCCTTATGATCTCATCGCCTCCTGGAAGCCCTCATAGTCTTCTACTACTAGGTTTCCCAATGAATCTGTAAGACATTCAGTCCATGACATGTAGTCCTGCCACAAAAGGGTGACTCGGGCCAACAGAACCACCTCTGTTTCTTCCAGGAACAAGAACACAAGGTATCTTGGATCAGTCATAGATCCAGAGTGCAGTGTGGACAGAGAGATGTGTGGCTTCAGATGGAGACCTGAGACAGAAACCCAGCTGGATCACAGAGTTGTCCTAAGATGAACCTAGAACGAAGTGGTTTTCTTTAGAAGGTTGTGGGGAGAGGGCCTGGCAACTTCTGGGTGCACACTGGAAGGGCTGACAGACAAAGCCTGTCATGAGTGAGTGAGTGGCACAGAGTTATCAGAGGAGAAGGGAACAGATGGGAGGGATCGGTTCTAACACTTGCTGGTTCTCTGTTCTCACCGCCCAATCAATACACATGCACACTGATGCAGAACCCCAAGGTTTGGGTCAGCCACACTGAGACAGTTTCCCTACCTCTACCCAGAGTGCTCCCAAGTCAACTGTGGGCAGAGCATTGTTTCTGTTCCTCCGTTACTATGGTTTGGGTTTTGTTTCCATTTTTTTTGCAAGTCAAGGAATAATCAAACCAAGCTCACAAATGTCCTGTCTCTTAATTCCACCTATCCTTAAAAACACTATATATGAAATATGGTTTCAGAATAAGCATTCTTTTGTTAATGGATATTTAGCAGAAATCAAAGTGTTGTCTGAAATAAATTGTTTGGAAAAATTCTATTAAGCCATGTAATGTTTGGAGATTGCCAGGTACAAAAGAACAAGTAGTTGTCATTCTTGAACCAGTTCCAGATGAATCAAAGATTTAAGAACAAAAAAATGAAATTATCATGAAGTAGGAGAGCAATCTATGCTTTTAGAACAACTTCAAAAGGAGGAAGTATATGTAAAACCCAGAACCACTAAAGAGAAGGTTGCTGCTCCAAGCTACATAAACGAAGCTAACTGGGTTTCTAAGACAATGAGGGAGGGTGTCTTAGGATTTCTATGGCTGTGAAGAGACACCATCACCACGGCAACTCTTAGAAAGAAAACATTTCATTGAGGTGGAGAGGCTTGCAATGTCAGAGATCTAGTCCATTATCATCGTGTCTGGGGAGCATGGCGGCTGGGAATATGGAAGCATGCAGGCAGACATGTGTTGGAAAGGCAGGCAGACAGGATGTGGTCCGTGACACTGTGTGATATGTTGAGCATATATGAGACCTCAGAACCTCCTCCCACAGTGACACCCTTTCTCCAACAAGGCCACATCTACTCTAACTAAGCCATATCTTCTAATAGTGCCACTCCCTTTGGGGGCCATTTTCTTTCAAACTATCACAGAGGGATAAAAATATGAAAGTTAATTTCTCCACCAAGTCACTTAATATTTTTAAAAGACCAGGAGGATCTTGAATTGGGCCTGGGATGATGGTGGCTGATTGAATAGTCTTTTCTTATGTATCCTCCCAGAATAGTATAAAACCAATACTGTACAAATAAAACTCCTGGTGATTCAGGCTTCCACGTGGCATTATCACCTGAAATCTGAGCCCCAGGAGAGGGCAGGTGTAGGAGGGGAAAATACTTGGAAAAATATCCTAGCATTATTGGGTTGTGGGATAGGTAGGCTATGGGGCCAAGTTGGTAGAAACAGGTCACTGGAGGTGTGTCATTAGGTGCCACACCTTGCCTTGGCCACTTCCTCTATCCTGTTTCTGCTTCCTGCCCACCATAAGGCAAGCAACCCCCTTCACATGTTCCTATCACCACAGTATTCCACAGTACTACAGCTCCCTGATGAGTGGGTCCAATGACTGTGGTTTGGAAATGACTGAGTTCTGGGTAAAATAAATCTCTTTCGAGCTGTTCATGTCAGGCATTGGTCACAGCAACGAGAAAAGCTAATGAGAAATGGTTGGGTGTCTACTTTTGTTTTCTTTTGTTTCATTTTTTTTTCAAAACTTGATGAGAGCTCTAAGTGCACAGGTCCAACAAATCAAACACATCCACACAAAGCCACAAAGAACCTCGTGCAAGTAACAACATGACCAAGCATAAAGAGAAAACACTTAAAATCAGTCAAAGAAAAAAGTAGGCACACCACACAGAGAACGAAGGTAAAGATGAAGGTGGCTTTCTCACCTGGGGTTATGTCAGTTGGCTGACATGCTGAAGTGAGAAGCACACCCTGTCTCTGTGCCTTTCCCAACCACACCACACAGCCTAAGACACCAGGAAGAACTTCAGACAAGCCTAAAATGAAAAACCTACCAAGTATCCAGGCAGAATCCTTCCAGCAATCCTAGAGAAAAGAAACAAGCCCGCATTGCCTAGGTGAGGAGACAACAAAAGGACATGAAAACCGGCTTCATTGGGAGCTCTGGGAGTGGACGCTAAACCAGAAAAGGTGGGGAATTAAAAAGTTTTGAATGTGTGGATATTATCAACACAATACAGTATCCCTATAGACTTTTCTGGGTTTGGTCACTATATGATGTTTACGTACCATAGTTAAAAGACAGTATATATATAAACATTATGATTTTTGGTAAGTTCAAGGATGTTTATGAATAGAAAGATAAAACCAGAACTCATGAAAACTATAACATAAAGATGTCTCTAAAGTTCTGGGAGTGACTGAGGGTGGTGATAACAAAGGGGCTAGAGAGATGAGTAAGCGGTTAAGAGCACTGGCTGCTCTTCTAGAGAACCCAGATTTGACTCCCACCACCAACCTGTGAGCTTACAACTGTTAGCTCCAGTTCCAGGGGGTAAAACACCCTCTTCTGGACTCTGTGGGCACTGCATACATGGTGCACAGTCATGCAGGCAAAATATCCATACAAGCAAAGTAAAAATAAATACATAAATGACAGCAAAATTTTTAGAAGACCAAAGATGAAACATATTACACTTATGTGTTTACAGTAGTTACTTAGGCAGGAAGATGATTCCAGGTGGGAATTTGGACCTACATGAAAGAATGAAGAGTATCAGAAAAGTAAATATATGGGCAAAGGTGAAAAATATTTCACAGATCTCTTTAAACTATACACTATTGTAACAGAAATAATAACAACACAATTTTTCATGCAAGTTAGCAATTTATTACACATCGGCTCTAAGTCCTTCCGTCTTCTAAGTCTGGATCTTTTTTTATTCTGACAATCCCAGTTCCTTTCTCCCACCTGTCCTCCCCTACCACTCCCTGCCATCTAAAACCCTATCTATCACACACCCTTTCTGCTCCCTCTGGATGATGAGGCATTCCATAGAGTGTCATCAGTGTCTATTGTATCCTTTGGGATAGGGCCTAGGCCCACCCCTGTGTGTCTTGGCTCGGGGAGTATTCCTCTATGTGGAATTGGCTACCAAAGTCCACACCTATGCCAGGGATAAATAGTGGGCTTCTACAGGAGGTCCCATAGATTTCTGAGGTTTCCTCACAGAAACCCATGTTCCTGGGGTCTGGATCTGTCCCATGCTGGTATTCCAGCTATCAGAATGGGGAGCAAGAGTTCCCGGATGTTCAGGTCAGCTGTTTTTGTGTGTTTCACCAGCCTGGTCTAGACCTCTGTGCTCTTCACTGGTCCTTCTCTGCATCTGGGTTCCAGTTCAGATCGGTGATTAGTTATGGGTGTCTGCTTCTACTTCCACCAGCTGCTGGATGAAGGTTATACGATGGCATATAAGTCAGTCATCAATCTCATTATCAGGGGAGGGCATTTAAGGTAGCCTCTCCTCCGTTGCTGAGATAGTTAGCTGGTGGCATCTTTGTAGATCTCCAGACATTTCCCTAGTGCCTGATTTCTCTATAAACCAAAAATGTCTCCCTCTATTATGATATCTCCATTCTTGTTATCGTGTAGTCTTCCCCTGACTCATACTTTCTGCTCCCTCATGTCACTGGCATCCTCTTCCTCTCCCCTTCTCATTCTCCTAGCTCCCTCCCTCCTCTTCTGGTGCTCAGCAGATCTTGAACCTCTCCCCTTCTCCAGGGGACCATGTATGTCTCTCTTAGGGACCTCCTTGTTTATTAGTTTCTTAGGCAGTGTGGATTGTAGGCTGGTAATCCTTACTCTATGTCTAAAATCCGCATATGAGTGAGTACATACCATGTTTGTCTTTTTTGCAATTGGGTTACCTTGCTCAGAATAGTCTGGATCTTTTTAATGCTTCTGCTTCCCACTTGGGGCACGATGTCGGATTTTGTCAGTAGAGGGAGCCAGAGAGACACTGCGGAATGAAGCAGCTTCACTTTCCTGCTGGATTCCCACCAGACAAGTGAGACAGAGCACTGAATGATAATTAGATAAACAGACAGACAGACAAGGGTGGCAGACAATAGATAGAGACTTGGAATATAGTTAGATGGACATGTGGCTACATGGGTGAGAACAGATGATGGAAATAGACCTCCCGGACAAGTACAGTTAAAGATACTTTTTTACCTGTCACATGTACACATGTACACACACACACACCCACACACACACACACACACACACACACCTGATTCTTCAGAGCCAGAATTTCTCTTACATAGGGAAACATTAAAATGACTCTTACTAAAGCAAAAACTGAGACAAAATATTCCTTATATCTAT